GCAGACGAAATCGCTGGAGGTGCCGCACTCGCTGCCGCTGCTGCAGGACTTGCTGTCCTCCTGGAACTCCACGGGACTCCTGCAGTGGTCGTCCTGCTGGCCCTGGGCTTTCATGATCACGGACTGGGTGCGCTGGCTGTATCCGTATCCGGCGACAGGACGCGGCGGCGTGATGGGCGGCGTGGGGAACCTGATGTGCTGCATCTGCTGGTGGTGGGGCTGCTGAAGGTGGTGATCCGCCAGCCAGCTGCCCGAGTCCGTATAGCCAGCGATGTACGGCGGAGTGTTGTATGGCGTGAAGTAGCCGACGGGCGGCTCGTATATCCCTCTGGCCGGGCCGCTGTTGAAGATTGACTTTTGTACTATATCCATGGTGTGTGTGGTGGGTGCTGATCGAGAAATTGGTAGTAGCTCTCGCTAACGCGCTTGCCGATCGAATGAGCCGCTCGCCTGCAGACGTTCGGGTAATATGCGAAACTCGGCCGGCGATAAGGGGTCGCCCAGACGGAACGGACAGGGAACGCTTATCACCGCCGAAGGCTGCAGACGGGTCCGGCGGGGGCGTGGTGGCAGGGGGGAGGACCATGGTAGACGGAACCAAAACACTGGAGCGCCTAAGAGCAGGTGCGTAGCAGACGGAGGGGGAGGAGGCGGTGGAAAAAATCCACTGGGGCCAGTGGATCTGGGGCAAAAGCACACACTACGTGAGTGAAACTCCGTGCTGGACGGAATGGAGGCTTCGGGGTGGGGTGCCAGGGGGACGGTCTGGGCCCGCTTATCAACGCACAAGTGGAAAGCCAGCCAGCCAGCCAGCTAGCAAACCAACATATGTACAATGTACATGTGTGCGCCCGATGATCGCTCTTTGGGGGGCAAGCGTTATCGCCCGGTGCCGTCTGCCTGACTTGCACTTCGTACCGCGTAGCGAATTCCCTGCAACCCCACCCTGAGAGCCAGTCCGCCCTCCCGATCCGAGTCCCACCCCTCCACTCGAACAGGTACGTCAACATCTGGGGCGCACTCAGAGAAAACTGTAGGATCAGGAAAGCGGCGAGAACTTCTAGACCAAATAACATCCTCGACTTAAGATTGCATTTCTAGAATCTACAAGCAGACTTCTACAAGATCACATGGCATCATTTCCATAAATAGCTTTACTATGTAAACAAAGCTTCAAGATATTCGTTTGATTCCTTGGTATTTATTTTAATTGTTTAATTTTGTAGAATTTAGTAAACAGATGAAATTACTAAAAAAGAAGCTTACGCCAGATAGCAACAAACTTTTCCGCCCATCGATTTTTTCAGGATAAGAACCCAGTGATTTAGGACTTAAAAAGTTGTTTTTGAAACTGGCCAACCAATCATATCAACCTAGATAGTTAAGGCACAAAATTTGTAGGGAAAAGCATTAAAAATCCCTCTTAAAAAGAGTAAAATCCTAATAAAAGAAAATGATAATAGTACATTTAAGTGAAAAATGATATTACTGTCTTAAATTGGTTTTAAATTAACAATAGATATACCTATGTATCTAGTAGACACTATCTACCTATCCAAACAAAGTACCCTCACAAGAGAAAATCCCCAAATAAAATGTTTATCACATTCTGTCTAATTACACTAAGGATGCAGGCCTTGCTAAATTTAAAAGTGGGTCTAGATCACTTATAGTTTTATTACTTTTCGGGGATAGTAAACTTCCCACAAGTATATCTAAACGTGCAATCCCTAACCCGTAGTTCCATTTTTGGGTTGGTCTGCCGTTTTCACCTCAGTGTGTGGGCGCTGCGTCTGGGGGACAGCGATAAGGCGGTTATCTCACGCCCAGTCAACAAACACGGCCACATGCGCCGCCCCATATCTTTGGGCCGAAAGTTTCTGCGCCATGACGCGAATGGCACGACGGGAAGCGGAGTTGCGCTCTGCTGGGTGGTGGCTATCAGCTATCAGCTATTAGCTATCGGCGTTATCAGGCGGCGGAGGCGCTGTCTGGTCCCGTGAATCACTGGCGGAGCAACCTTCGCTCCACCTTTGCGCTGCAGCTCCAACCGACCCCACCGGTCCCACGTAATCCGTAGAATGCACGGGCCAACGAGTGGGGTCCCGGGCTTACGTAAAGACAACACGACACCGGGGACTTTGATAAGCCCTTGCCCTCTATCAGCAGTGCGACAGGTGGACGTGGACGTGAATGCGGACTCATTGCCATTGCCCAGCTCGTAGTTCCCAGTCCCCCGAACAGATGCCGAATCATGATTTATAAATAGATAGGGGGTATAATCGGACCGCAGCCAGCCATTCGGATGAAGTACAGTCGCGCACAGCTAAGTCAGTCCAGCCGAATCTGCCAAAGCTCGGCCTTGGTTACTCTACAGAAACCCGTATCGCTACCCAAAATCACAGACAGGCCATGAAGGACCCCAGGCGCAACCTAAATTTTATGTTTTTTTGACGCTTTGAGAATGAGTAGGAAAAAAATCCGGATTTTCTGGCTGCCAGTGTGAACTTTGTATGGCGCGAGCGGCTGTCGATAAGCCAGCCCCCATTGTCTCGTCGCCTCCCGATCCCCCTCGATTCGTTCCCCCCCTTGGACATTCCAAAAGTCCAGAAGCTCCTCCGGAGCATTGATAAGCTGAGCATGCCAAAGGGAATAAAGTATCAACGAACATTGCGAATTTCTGTTGGGGAGCAAGCGTGTGCGCTTATTAATTTTCCGTGGTCCGAAACTCGGCGTAAATAAACACAGATCGGAAACCAACTGGGCGGCGACAGACAGATCGAAGGCGATCCGGATCGATCCGGATGCGCAGGGTGCAGTCCGCCGGAGAAGTGATGTTCAATATTTCTATCAAATTAACAACACACGACCGATAACCGGCGGGGTCTGGATGGCTGGCAAAGGTTGCCTGGTGGTCCGATAAGCCCTGCTGGGATCTCCGATGCGATCCGTTCCGAGGGGATCCAACTTGACCGGTGGGCGTGCGCCTGAGCCGAGGCTTTATCGCCAAGATGCACATTTGCAGTAGCCGCCGCCGCGGAGAAGAAGGGTCCACTCGAAGTCCAGACCGCTTATCGCCGCGGTGGAACCCACTGGGAGCACTGATATGACTATGCTAGCCCCGCGGAAGGCTAATTACTTTGTTGCCGCCAACGACAGACTTCCAAAGTCCATGTACCACGTACCGCCGCCGACCCAGCCAGTCATCAAACGGAGGGACATGCCACCGAGGCATGTAGCCACCACCACTGGCATCTCCCGCCAATCCGTTTATTACAGATGGCCGCCCGAATTCGGCCGACTCGGATCTATTATTTATAGGGCGCTTATCGCCAGACAGCTCTGATATGGCCAAAAAGGAAAAGTTATTAGGCAACTGGGGGAAGCGAACGCAGAAAAGGCAAACAAAATAAAAAACATTCCAGACATTCGTGGGAGCCCACAGACCCCGGAGCGCAGACCTTCCGGCAGGGGCGCTATTTTTATACCCGTTCAATGGGTGTTGCTATTTAGGAGCGATATGCTATTGTTTCTGTTACCACTGCTGCTGATACGCCTGACAATATCTCGTCTAGACTGGGCATTATTATGAGAGTCAAATTTTTATTTTTTCGTTTTTTCGTGGGTTGTTGTTGGTGTGTTTCTATTTTGAAGCTTAGCGGAAAAGTTTCAATGGCACATCCATGCGGTAAGATCCATAAACAATTACACAACGCCGCTGGGGGCTTTCTCATTATATATGACTGGCATTCTTGGCGGGGGTAATTGAGACGCCTTATCAACCGTTTGATTTACGATTGGTGGGCAGGAAGTGAAGTCAACTTTCTGTCTGAGAATGCCGATAGATATAAGGTATATTGGAAGGTATTCTAGTCCTTCAAACTTAGACCAACCACATCTGTGGTTTGGGAACTTGAATGAACTTAAAGAGTTATGATAAAATGGCGTACTTTGAGTTGAAATGACGCAGATATTTTGGATATCGCAATCATTAAATTTAAGACTATCAAGCAGGAAGTGATTCGAATTTTAAGCTCGGAATTAACCAAACGTTTTTATCCAAAACCATTATAATAAGTTAGAGGGCTGAGCTTACAAAAGGATATCGGAGTCCTAATGAAACATAATATCTGTATTCAGGCTGACTACTAATATATAAAAATGGCTCTATTACTTAAACCAGTATTGTTCTACAATTCATCTGTAAATAATTAATAAAGTTATTGGATCGCCAACCAAAAACTAAACCTTAAAGAGGCATTAAAATCTAATCATTTTGATTTTTATTTAAGAAAGCTCGTTAAAAAATGTTTTAATGGCACAACTCAATTTACAAAGTGTACACCAGAGAATGGTGCAGATATGTGTACAATGAACGAGCAAGAACTATAGGGTCTTTTGGTAAAAAGTTCTGCAAATCATCAATCTATGGCCAACGACTCTGAAGTTTTCTTGCCACTTAGTGCGTTAAGTAATTGAAATAGTTTTTTTGCATTAATAAATTTAGAAAGCCTATACCAACTTGGCCTTCGCCCAAGATTAAACATCTACTATAGTGAGCATGATTTCAGAAGTGAGGTAAATAAGTGTTCTCGATGAAGTCTTATTAAATTGAACCTACATTTGCAAATGGATTTTACTTTCCCTTTTAAATTTAAGTTCCTTTTGGATAGGGATCTTTGAAAAAAATTGATTATATTTGCAATCATTCTGCATTTTTAATTTTGTCCGATATTATTTGTTGAGTAAATAAACCAAGGTTGCACACCCGAAAGTGAAAACCAGAACACCGGCTTGATTGACAGAATACATTTGAATTGCGATTCACCTATCCCTATCAAGCGATCGGTGCAGCCGCACTGACCTTCAAAGCACTGGGTGGTGCGGCCGCTCGAAGAGCATGCGGGCGGCACGCGATCACTCCCACAGCAGGTGACCTCCCTTACATTGAGCACCACTATCGCGACACAATTGATAAAGCGTTCGAACCGCCTGTAAACTTACTTAGGGCAATAAATTTATTGTACAAAAATCGATTCGGCGATACACGTTTAAAGTTCGCGCTCACTCGGCCGCCACATGACGTCTGAGCGGAGATCGGGAATCGGAGATCCCAGATACTATGTTGGTGGAGTGCGAGTGCCAGTACGGGGAGCTGTGTCCGTGGGGTAGCCGCCGGTCCCCGAAATAGATGTAGTAGATGGTGACCCCCACGCGGCGCCGTGTCATCGGCGGCCTGTGTGCACGTGAACCAGAAATAAATATGAGCCGCAGGTTTAAATTTACACCACACTATGTAGTACCCACTCAGGCGAAGTGCTCCAGATGGTCGTGCATGTAGGTGACTAGCGACTTCTCGAACAGAGGGCCCACCAGTCGGTCCAGCTTGAGGTTCAGGCTCACATAGAACTGCCGACTGTATCGTTTGCTCAATTTGGCGGCCAGCACCGAGGAATCGGTCTGCCCATGTCCGCCCAGGATGGTGGAGGATATGGCCTCGCTGCTGGCGGGATTACGAGAGGGCATGGCCACCGCTAGCTCCTCGAAGACCTCAGACTCCTTAGGATTCACAATGAGCAGGGTGCTGCCCTGCATTTTCAAGGCGCGCACGGTGAATTGCGAGGGTCCCGCCTCCAAGTGGACGCAATGTGAGGTGAAAAGACCGGGGTCCTTCGCCGGCACAGCTCCTCCGTTTTCCAAGACAGCTACGGACTCCATATATGAGGAATTTCAGATATAAACAAGATAAGTTTATAAGGAAAACAATGAAATAGCAGATTTGACCAGTGTTACCAGATGGTGAAATTTCTATTCAAACCAATCTTGAATTCCCCAAATTCAAATTAGCATTTGATTTTAAAACAATTTAGGGAAAACTTTATGTATGTATAGTTGTAAAACACAAGGTTATACTGCATAAAAACAGTATACAGCAACAATTAAATTATTGTTTGATGGAATTGACTCCACATTTAGCCAACTATTGCAAAATGACCAGGGCTTCCAAATTACCATAGAAAAAAATCGATAGGCAGCTGCAAAAGCCCCTGGCGCCAAATTCGAATATACCCCCCTTGAAGGCCAATTAAAACTCCCTCGGTTTCGCCGTTCGCAGTGTTGGTTGCATTTATTAAGGCTCTATTTAATGTGGGCGAGTTTTTAATAATTACGTTTGTTGAGTTAAAATACATATATACGATATTTTGTTCACAATTACATTCAGATTTTTTTTGCTCCTTTCTGCGCGCGTCGATTGGGCTGTTTTATATAATGTTTACGTTGTCGTTTGATTTAACCTACTTAATTAAATACACAATCGGGAAATCGGCGAGAGAGTACCAAACAAAGGCAAACAATTGAAATCAGTGATATTCGATTTAAAGATCAGTTCCGGTTGTTATAAGTAAGAAAAAAAATTGTAGATGAAATTCGCTAGTTATGAGTTAGACTTGGAAAGTCAATGGTCAATAGGAATTTTCTAATTTCGCTTGCGATTATGTTGTATGGATTAAATATCGTTTACGTTTGCCGTCTATTGCGTTTTATTTATTGATAATGGGTTGTTAAAGTTCTTTGAATTTGCTGGATATCAAATAATTTTGATTAAATTGTTTTTTTTGTTTCTTCTACTATAATTTGACTAAGATTTGCAACCGCGATTTTAAACTTCCATCATGCTGTTATTTTCTTTTCTTGTTTGAATTTTTTTTGTTAGTTTTGTTCTTTTTCATCATGTAATCATTATCGATTTGTGAATAAATATTGGAAGTGATAAACATATAGCGTTGTTGTTATGCGGGACTGGTGCGTCCTAATCCTCATCGTCCTCAGATTCGGCCTCCTGCAGCCAAGTCAACCAGGCGTTCACTTGGAACAAAGCAGATCCTTTGCCTGGATATTTGTCGGAAATTTCCTCCTTCCACAAGACGAATGCCTCCTCCTCGATAATTTCAGATTCGTAAAGGTATTTGAACCAACGGCACAGCATACCTAATGAAAAAACAATCGATATAAGAACCTTCGTAGGGATTGATGGAGAAATATTAGTGCTTACCCTTGGGGAAATTCTCATTGTAGCAGAAAGTCTGCAGGGCGTAGAGGGCCATCAACTGCAGCTCGTTCTGTCCCAGGAAGGTCTGCAGCATCTGGCTGTAGTTTTCTAGCAGCTGCTGCTCCTTCTGGGTCACTGACTTCTCCGGGTGCTCCTTGGGGTCGATGTTGGCCGCCAGCGTCGTCTCCTTGGTCACGTATTTGACCACCACGGTCATGAGGGCTTGGATGAAGCCGGGGTCCTTGTAGTACTTGTTGTCCACGTTGGCCTTGACCCACTTGTAGAAGTTGTTGGGGTTCGGGTCACTCTGTAACTGCTTCAGCATCTCGGCCTGCACCTTCAGCAGAGGATAGAGGAAAGATAGCTGGCGGTCCTCGAGTATCTCGGCCAGTCGCTCCTTGTTGCGATCCGATTCCGGCAGACTGTTTACCAGATCCACCTTGCTCGCCCGGAACTTCTCCTCCAGCGCATCCTTGCCGATGACTTTGACCAGCTGCTGCAGCACGAGCAAGAACAGCGGATAGTGTTGTCCGTTGTCTGTGAAGTTGGCGATGTCGCTCAGCTTCAGCAGAGCCGGTTCGCATACGGTCTTGGCCAGGACACTTGCAACGAGGGACGCGATCCGGGGATTCAGCGCCTCCCGCTCATTCATCTTGTTGACCAGCTGCTTGAAAACCTCGACCACGATGTTCGACTTGATATTGGACTGCTTGCGCAATGTCTGCAAGAGTCTTACGACGCGTTCCAGATAAACATCGTTTACACGATCCAAAACATCCATCAGCAAATTGAGGCACACATCCTTAAGGGACTTCTCTGGCAACTTAAGCTCGAGGAATCCATCCACAAGCGCGGTAAAGCGATCTGGAGCGGGCACAGGAGTAGCGCTATCTTCTTTTGCCTCCGAATCTTCTGCTGCAGTAGTCTCTGTTTCTGTTGCCTTGACCTCAATATCATCCTTCACCTCTTCATCTGCATCCTCCTCTTCATAGTAGAAGTTATCCTTAAAGTACTGACCGGCCTTCTTGGACAGTTCCTCCTTGTTGGGGCCCTTGTCCTTCTTCTGCTGCTTGGCCGAGCCATTTCCTCCTACCGGGGTGCTTGGTCTCTCCCCGGAACCACCGTTCTTGGCCTGATCCTTGCCGTCGTGCGAGCCCTTCCTGGCCGCTTGGCCCTCGTTCTGCTCGCCCAGCTTTTCCGCTCCGGATCCAAAGTTTGGCGATGAAGTGGTGGCCTTTAGGCCTCTCTCGTGCTGCGCTCCCAGCAGATTCCGGCTTTCGGCGTATTCCGCTGATGGCGTCGATGAGGGACGCGCTGGATTCAACAAATGGGAGGTGGGCGTGCCTAGCATTGGGTAGTGAGAGTTCGACAGTTGACCCTGATCCTTGCCCTGCGAGCTGCCTTGGTTGTTGTTGCCGCTGTTGTTGGGCGGTGTGGACATGGGTAATGTGGCCGGGAACTTCTGGTTCTGGGAGGCCGCTCGGAAAAGCAAGGAGTTGGCTGCCGGGCGCATTTGCAAGTTCTCCACCGCATCCTGATTCGTGGTGATCAAGTTGCGTTTGAACCTCGGTGCCAACTCCTTGCTACCCAGCAGCTGATTGCCCCCATACTGTCCGTCATTGCGATCCCTGTCGCGATCGTTGTTCCTACGCGAATCATCTCTATCTCGGTTGTTGGAGGAACTTCCTCCGCCACTGCCGCCTCCGTTCTGGTTGTGCTTGTTGTAGCGATTGCCATAGTTGGCTCCGCCGCTACCTCCTTGATCGCGATCCCTGTTGCGATCGCCACGATTGTTGTACTGGCGGTTATCGCGATCTCGGTCACGATTGCTGGTAGCAAACCTAAAACATACAACAAAAATTAAATGAAAACCAATAGTAAATCCCTATTGTTGGTACTACTCCTATTATTGCCTATTGTATGATTTTGAAATTATTGGCATTTTTACTTCCCAAATTAAGAGATAATATACTTTTAATGGTTTGAAACAAGGCCACCCTATGCTTTTCCCCCACTCGACTCCCATGGCAATGAATTATACTCACGGCGAGACAATCGGAGAAGCTCCCGTGACACTCAGTCCGCTAAACATGTCATTATAGCCGCCAGGCTGGATATTCAGATGGAACCGATTCATCCAGCTGTCCGAGTCGCGATCGTTGTTGCGCATATCCCGATTGCGATTGGGGAACGGGGTGCGAATAATCGAGTCGTCGTCCGAGCGTATTTGCTTTATGGGGACGGGGCCTTCAGTGGTGCCCAGCTTGCGCGGCACCCAATGGTTTTGGCGCAGCTCGATGACGTCCTTTAGCATGAAGCGTATCCGCGGTGGATATTCAGATGACTTTGACCGACGTTCAAGCGTCTCGAAGTACTGGTTCATCAGCTCTTTGCCCTGTTCTGAATCCAGATTCTTGCCGCAAGTTTTGAGCAGCTGAGCCAGGCATTCCATGTCCTCGCACATTTCCTGCGCACCGGCCGTACGCTTCTTCTTCTTGTCCAATAGCTCCATGATGCACTGATGCAGCACGGTCTTCGACAGCATGTCGAGCTTGTTGAGCTCTCCGATGAACTTGACGTTGCCGAGCATGCGCTGTTTGGCCAGATGGCGGCGCTCCTCCTCGTCGGCCTCATTTTCGGGCGGTGGTCGGTTGTCGTTCTCGTCGCGCTTCAATCGGTTGTTGAACTTGTCGCGACAGACGGCGATCAGGAGGCGCAGGAAGGTGCAAGAGTTGTTTGGTTCCTTATCAAATGACGGGGCTTCCTCGGACAGTCGCTTGCAGAGCTGCGCGTACATAGACGAGTACTTCGGCTCGTCCAAGGCCTTGTCGAAAATCAGCAATATCACGCCGTTCAGAATAACAATTGAGTTGAGGTCCAGCTTCAGCAGTTCATCGCTCAGCTCCTGGAATTTCTCGGGCGTTAGCTTGTTCAAAATACCCCTCACGCGTCGGAAGACGGCGTCGTTCTTTTCGCTTTGGGTAAGTCCATGCTGCGGACGCAGCGAGGGTGGTATCCAGCGTCCGGTGATCGGTGGCGGAGTGATTGCCTTGCCGGCCTGGGATCGCTCCTGCCGTTCCTGCTGCTGCTGCTGTTGGGAATGCGGTGCTGCTCCTCCTGCTGCCGCCGCTGATCCGGAGTTCAGAGAAATGTTCGAAGAGTTGGAAGTAGAGCCAGAGTTTTGGGCAGATGCATTGCCGTTGCGTAGAGTGGGCGTGCGACTGGCCGGTGCGCTTCCGTAACGATCCGCCTCCGACCTGCCGTAGCTGCGGGGTCCTCCGCTCGCTCCTGCCCCCGATCCGCCTCCTCCGTTCCGCTCTAGGCTGTTGGTGTAGTTGTAGCGCTGGTGCGACGGTGAGTCCTCGTAGCTGTCGCGGTAGTTGCTGCTGTATCCGCCACTCACGCCTCCATCGTTGCCACCGCGCGAAGCCCCGTACGACGACTTGCTGTTGTTAGTTGAGCTCGCTGAAGATCCGTTGTAGCCGGATGAGGAGTTGCTGCTGTTGCCGTTCCCGTTGCCGCTGCCGTAACGTGGCTGTGGGCCGTTGCTCCCATTGCCGTTCTCGTAGTTGCGGGCGGAGCGGTAATTGCTGCCACCGCTTCCAGAGCCGACTGCCCCAGATCCTCCTCCTCCTCCCTGGGAGTTTGAGTTTATTGATCGATTGTAGCTGCCATCGGAGTTGGAGTGATAGTTGTTGCGACTACCACGATGCGCTCCGCCTTGCTGGTCCTGCTGCTGGTATCTGCCAGAGGA